CCAGGGCTAGTGATGCCATGCCAGTCTGGAGGCATGAAGTCACCCTGAGAGTGCTTGCAGGCCTAGGGTTGCCATTGCCAACAAAGTCAAATTGATGCAAAGGAGGACAATTGCTAAAGATTTTCCAGAACACTACTCTGTCGATACATTGCAACACTTTGAATTAGCACCAGAGCTTTAAGAGCTCTCCAGCTGTCACCTGGAGACTGGCAACAGCTTGTTTGGAGGGTGGGGCCTAAGTCCAAGCAAAGACCTCCAGATCAACGGGAGGAGAAGAAACTTTATTGGCGCCAGGTTCAGTCAGTGAAGAACACTTTAAACAGACTGAACCCAGATCAATACAGGCTCCAGGCTTTTATACAGCAACAGGGTTACACGTCACATCTTACATCATCAGAGTGGAATTTCCCACTAACGGCTTATTTTTCCCGCCCAAAACAAACAAGCTTACTTCTGCCCCTAATGGCTGGAATGTGACCAGCAACTATCCCCTTATATGGTCAAAGAGTTATTTGAATAATAAATACCTGCTTCAGTATCCTACCCCTCCGCTCAGTCAAGTTGGAAAGCTTCTTCCGGCCCCAGGAGCCAGACTCTGGGAAAAGGGGCCTCTTCCCTCAAATTGAGGAGGAGGAGGAGAGTTGGATTTATACCCTGCCCTTCACTCAGAGTCTCAGAGCGGCCTACAATCGCCTTCCCTTCCACTACCTACAACAGACACCCTCTGAGGTAGGTGGGGCTGAGACAGCTCTGAGAGGATTGTGACTGACCCAAGGTCACCCAGCTGGCTGCATATGAAGAAGGAGTGGTGAATCAAACCCGGTTCTCCAGATTAGAGTCCACCACTTTTAACCACTACACCAAACTGGCTACACCAAACGGAGGTTTCAGACTTGACTGAGTGGAGTCACCAATACCACCTGTTTCTCGTTTTTGTCCCCTTAATAATACTGTGAATGGTTTATATATCAGGGGCTCTCCAGCTTTGACAATCTGAGCACCTAAAGGTATAGCCCTCCTCCTAGTGTGGACAGCCCCACACTGGAGACGGGGACTCGCCTGCCCCTGTGCCCCAACCCCTACTACCGAACAGCTGGCTAGCAGAGGAACTTACCAGGAGCAGGAGGGAGGCCAAGGCTACATTGCCGGCAACGCCACTCCTGGCAGGTGACAGAACTGACATCATCATGCCAGCAACATCCGGGTAACACTCTGGTATTTAGACAAAAAAACCTTCACGGTAGAAGCCATTTTTACCATAGAGTTTTTGCCCAGATGCCAGAGTGTCGCCAGGACGTCCCAACATGATTATGTAATTTCCAGTAAACAGGAAGTGATGTCACCGTGTTGCCAGTGATGTAGCCTGGGCCTCCCTTCCATTCCTGGCACGTTGGAGCTGCTGCAGGCGTCGCCAGGCAGGACTAAAGGTAAGTCTCCAGGCTCCAACAGGAGGTTGGCATCTGTGCTGAGGGGGCGCGGGCGCCACAAGCTAGCCTCGCCTAGGGCACAGAAACACCTCGGGCCGGCCCTGTGTGGGGTGATGTGTGAATGCAGTCCAACAAAGGAGCTCAGCCTAACAGGTCATGTGGGACACCATGGGGCTAGTCGTTCAACCACCAATGTGTGACGGAATGTCAGGGACTGGCTTTCGGGACTGAAGTTACCGTTACACTTTCCGCCGAGCGTGTGATCGCGATTCTCAAAGTTGCTCTTTTCACGAGTCCAGTCGACCTCGTCTCTCAGATCCTGAACCAGGCCACAAATATCAGCTGACTCAAAATCGCACTGGTCCAAAAGTGTGAGCGGTCTTGCTGGGGGGGGGGTGAGGGGAACAAATAGAAAATAAGAAGGGATGCAACAGATTTTACTATAATGCTGCCACCACATGGGTTAGTGTTGCCAACCACCAGGTGGTGGCTGGAGATCTCCTGGAATTACAACTGGTCTCCAGAGGATAACGTTCAGTCCCCCCCAGAGAAAATGGCTGCTGTAGAGGGTGGGCTGCTTGGTATTATACCCTGATGGAGTCCCTCCCCCCCTTAAACCCCGCCCTCCCCAGGTTCCACCTTCCAAATCTCCAGGTGTTTCCCAAATCAGAGCTGGCAACCCTACACATGGTGGCTACAGCTCAATCTCACCTCTTGCAACATGGGGGGGAATAATGCTTACCTACCTTGCATTACCCCTCTAAGCTGTGGAGTCTTGTGAGCAAAAATTCTACTTTGTAAGTTGCTGGCATTAAAGTTGTGAGCGAGTCATTTGGCTCCTGCATAAATTAGTTTGCTCTGGAGCCCATCCCTTCCTGAGCTGAGACAAGAATGTGTGAGCCGGACGCTAAAAAATTGTGAGCCAGCTCAAACTAACTCAGCTCAGAGGGAACACTTCTACCTAGCAAGGGAGTCAGTGCTGTATAGCGGTTAGGTGTCGAACTTGTTTGTTATGAGGGCCAGGTCTGACTTAAATGTCACTTTGTTGGGATGGGCCATGTGTGCCATAAAACATTAGTGCCAAGTACCAGAGATATGAACTTTATAAAGGACAGCGCCTGGTAAGCTCCGAGTCGGTGTGTCCTCACTGCAAGGCCCCGTGGGCTGGGAGGGGGGTGCAGAGGAAAACCCACACGGACGGACTGGAGAGCCAGTGGTGTAGCACTGGGCAGACGCCCCCATGCCTCAGCAGATTCCCCACATGCAAACGGTGATCTCTGAGGCCATCTGGGACAGCATCTCCGGAGCTGTAGAGCGAGTGGAGAGGTACGAACAAGGGTGTAGACTTTCCAATTTCCCGGGGGGGGCTGGGGCTGGGCCAGAGGCATTGCTTTGCTAGGAGCAAGGGTGGCTCCCGGGGGAGGCTCAATCGGAGTTGCTCCGCCCACCCATCCCTGAGCAGCTTCCTGTTCCCTCCCTTGCACCAGTTGCTCGTGGGCCGCATAACAGCCATGGACGGGCCGGTTCCAGCCCCCGGGCCTTATGTTCGACACCCTGACCAGGAAGACCCGAGTTCAAATTCATATACAACCATGACAGAAACTGGGTGTCTTTGGACTAGTCACTCTCTCCACCTAAACTACCTCGGAGGTTCTTATGGTGGTGAAATAGATGGAAACTACGTACACTATTCTGATGAAGGAAGGACAAGAATGGGGTAGGTGACGAATATTTGGCGTTGGACAAGTGGTGGTGGAAAGCACCGTCAAGTCACAGCTGTCTTACGGTGAACGCGTAGGGTTTTCAAGGCAAGAGACCAGAGGTGGTTGGCCATTGTCTACCTCTGCTTAGCAACCTTGGACTTCCTTGGAGGCCTCCCATCCGAGTACTAGCTGGGGCCAACCCTGCTTCCCTTCTGAGATATGACAAGGTCTGGCCAGCCTGGGCCATTCAGGTCAGGGATGCAAATGCTATGCAAATGCTGACTCCTAAATAGGAATAGATGAATCGCGGAGGCTGGACGACCATCTTTCGGGTCTGTTGTCGGGCTATCTTTCGGCTATGCTCCGGCAGAGCGCAGGGGGTTGGACTAGGCGACCTGTAAGGTCCTTTCCAACTCTAACATTCTATGATTCTATGGAGCAGAAACTCATCTCTCATTTACCGTCTTAATTTTTTTAAAAAGACGATTCATTATTCAGAAAGGGATCTCTGTGCTCAGACGGCAAATTCGAGGTCACCGTCTCAATGTGGACTTACTGCAGTTATGCATCTGATTGAGTCGCTGGAGGTCAGTGCTGCTGAAATCCAGACGTTGACCAATAACGCCATTAAATTCATGTATGTTGGCCGTGACCGTTGGCAAACTCTTATTTTTAGAAAACGAGAAAGGACCGTAGTGCATAATGGACTCATAATCATAGGGAGTATTGAAGTCGGTGAGGTGGTCATTGCTGTATTTCTGGAAGTTGAATGCTTGATCTGTTGGAGAAAAAGAAGAGTTACCATACTTCCTTTTTTCCTACTCTCTTTTGTCTTTTGCTGCGGTAGCTCAAGTGGTTAAGACGCTGAACTGCAGGCTGTGGAAGGTCAGTAGTTCAGCAGTTCGAGACCCGAGTGTGCCGCATGATGGAGTGAGCTCCCATCTCTAGCTCCAGCTCCTGCCAACCTAGCAGTTCGAAAGCAAGAAATTGCAAGTAGATAAATAGGTACCACTTCGGTGGGAAGGGAACAGCGTTCCGTGCGCCTTGGTGTTTAGTCATGCCGGCCACATGACCATGGAAATGTCTTCGGACAGCGCTGGCTCTTTGGCTTTAAAATGGAGATGAGCACCACAACCCTAGAGTCGGATTCGACCGGCTTTCGAGCAAGGGAACCTTTACCTTTTGTCTTTACTGTTTTTGCAGTCAGAGTCACAAACAGCAAACCCTCGTTCCGCAATAAACCTCATTCCATAGGAAAACATGGAAGAATTTAAAGGCGGCGGCTGCTGCAAAAGCTGTCATGTGATTTGACAGCAGCTGCTAGAAATTTTGCCGCACGAAGGGTAGTTTGTCTTCGTCTCTAAGTAACCAGGATGATTTTGCTTCTGGAGAAAGAAGTCTTGATAAGACAACGGGGAGATCAGTTCATCTCTTAGAGCTGAACATTTGGGACAATCAAGCAAGATATGATCCACAGGGGCAATTTTACTGCCGCCGCCATTGCAGAGTCGATCTGAGTGTGAAACCCCATTAAATCTTCCTGACATCACAGCTGGAGGTGGGGCATTCAGGCACGCTTGTGTAACCCATGCAGTTTTGTAGCTGTTAACAGCATACAGGGATCAGGCACGCCTGCTTTTGCCAATAGGTGGTGTGGCAATTAACTCCCTTTTCCCCCCTTCTATACTTACGTAGTTAATGAGCATGCTCAGTGCTTGTAGCCTTCCCCCAAAGGAGGCTGGGTATTCCCAGCAGCCAGCAGTTCAGCCTGGCCCAGAAAGAGGCAACATCTTGGGGAGAGGCCTATATAGACTTTGCTGTGTTAAGGCCTGCCTTGAATTATTGCAGGTAAATCCTGGAGTCAACTGAGAAGAGCTGCAGCATCCCAAGTACAGCCTGGAAACCTCATATGCTGTTCCAGTATCTGTGAGCTTACAACATATGGACCTACGATATATGTATTATCTATGTGCTTAGTATTTTTTTTCTGTTCTGTGCATCCTTGTGGATGCTGAAGATATCTGTACTCAGTAATATCCTGAAGATTCATTGTTATGAAGTAATAGCAACCAACCAGGAGTGAATGAGGAATTATATGAAAACCTCCATGCTTTGTTTATATAAAGAGTTTATTTTAAATGTTAAAGTGCACTGGTTGTATTGCCTCTCTTATGTCTGTGTTTAAGTGCATGTGTAGTAACAGCAGTTACATATTCTTAATAACCATAGGTGGGAGTTTCGCTGTCAAAACCGACTGAACCTGCCCACTCTCCCTGCAGATTTTAGGACCTTAGTGGGTTACACTAGCATGAATGCCCTTCTATACTTTGGAAGAACTATCTGGAATTGATTGAAGGAATAAATTATCAAAGTGAACAAATAGACTTTGAACTAGGCCCACAAAGAACCTCAAACCTGTTGGAGTGAGCGACTCAGCCTGCCTGGACACTGGGGGGCGCTACGTCACTTCTGACCCCTCCTCTCTCTGTGTGTCCTTCATCCTCTCACTCCCTTTACATGGCTTTCCCTGCAGACACATGTCCCTGCAGGTCTCTCCTGTAGAGACAAGGCCCTCATACTCTCACACACAGGATGCCAGACTAGCTGGCCATTTGTGACAGGGAAAGGACTCTTTAGATTAGGCTTCTCTCTCTCCTTTGACTGCAGCCTGAATATGAACTGGATCTACCTGAATAAATATAAGTTTCCTCTTTTTTTTTTTTTGCAATATACTTCCTGGGAGATTCATTTACTGCACTCAGTATCACACTTCTACGACTGGGCAAAACTCTGTCAACCAAATATCTCGATAAAACCAAGGATTTGGGGGGACAATTCCCTGTCGTTCACTCAAATTTTAAGTAAGGCAGAACGGCCTCAAGATGGATCCTCCACGTTGTTGTTTATGGATATCACCAGGGCTATTTTTGGGCAGGAACGCACAGGAACGGAGTTCCGGCTGGCTACTGAGTTGGTCACACCCACTACAGCCAAAACCCCTGTGTGCTTGGCTACAAAAGGCCTGGAAAGCGACCCTCCCCCAGCAACTCTGAGGTGGGTGGGCCGGGGGGGCCCTGGAAGAATCGGGGAGGCATTTAAATGCCTTCCCAAACCTTCCCCAGCCTATCCAAAGGCCAGCTTGCCCAGGCGCCCTGCAGCCGTGGGGCACCTGGGCAAGCCAAGGGAAGGCATGGGGGTGTGGCCTAATATGCTAATGATCTGTGCTGTCAGGGGTGTGTCCTAATATGCTAATGAGTTTCTGCTGTTGGGTGGGGCCTATTATGCTAATGAGTTCCTGCTGGGCTTTTTCTACCAAAAAAGCCCTGGATATCACCATCACCGGGTTTGATTCCCCACTCCTCCACTTGCACCTGCTGGATGACCTTGGGCAAGCCACAGTCCTGTCCGAGCTGTTTGGCATTGTTGTTGGAGGCTGAATGTCTACTAAAAAGGCTGAGCACACTCTGTGGGCTCTGATCGACGTGCTCTCGTAGTCAATGTCTCTCTCAAACGTCTTCTAATGAGCTGTGACAGTTCTTGTCTACCCGTGACTTCTATCATATCATGTGTGATACAATAGTTACTTCCAATTGAAGCGGTCACAATGCTTGCAAAGGGATTCTACTCCGAGTGAGACCAGCAGCGCCAATTGGGACAGCAGCCTGTGACACTCCAGAGCATGGGCTACGTGCCGGAAGACCTTGTTTCAAAATTCGCATCAGTCATGAAGCACTGCTTTACAGGGTTGCCAATCTCCATAGAACCCCCCACAATTGCAACTGAGCTCCAGATAACAAAGGTTAGTTCCCCTGGAAAACATAGCTGCTCTGTAGGGCAGACTCTGTGGTCCTGAGCCAGGACCGTGCCAAGCATGCCGCACGCCAGAGGGGCCTACCGATCCGCC